CAGATGCTTGGCCTGCTGTGTTCATCCAGCCCTGCACCTTGTTGTCTCTAACTCTATTTAGTGTTGTTTTATCTGTCATCCTGAGCTATGCCCTCAAGTCTTGTCAGAATTCAAGAGGGAAGTCGTGGTTATAATGTGGAACCTCCTTCTTTGTCCAGGAGACTCTTGAACATTTCAAGAAATAAATAATTAAACATTAGCACAACTTTAACATCTGTAATATTTCATAAACGTTTATCACCATTTGCTACAGAAGAGACAGCCGACATCGAACTTTGTGCATTTATACTGAAAGCTTGTTTTTAGTAAACTGGTGCGATATCAACAATTGATTCCTAATGCTCTTAAAATCTGGAGATCTTAGTGAGACATAATGAAAATCATAATTGCAACTTCCATGTCTGGCTACAAATCTGCCAGACTGTTGAGAATAAAATAAAGAACTGCATGTGCTGGAGAACTGAAACAAACAAAGACAGGGATTGCAAGAGAAACTAAGCAGGTCTGGCAGCATCTGTGGAGAAAAAATAGTGTTAATGTTTTGAAACCATTGACACTTCTCCAGAACTAGAAGTAGATAGGAAAAGGTGGTATGAGTGGGAGAAAGGAGTGAGTGGGTAGGTGGAGAGGGAGCCAAGAGAGATAATAGGGTGGGCATACAAAGGGATTGTTGACAGCAGGCCAGGGAAGTATAGAAGTTAAGAGATTTGATAGCCTGGGTTTGTTTTCCGTGGAGTGGGGCAGGCTAAGGGGAATCTGATTGGGGTATACAAAATAATAGAACATCAAACAGTACAGTACAGTACAGGCCCTTCAGCCCACGATGTTGTGCTGACCTATTATCCGACTCTAAGATCAAACTACCCTGCATACTGTACATTTTACTGTCATCCATGTGCCTATCCAAGAGTCACTTAAATGTCCCTAATGTATCTGACTCCACTACCACCGCTGCCAGTGCATTCCACATGCCCACCACTGTCTGTGTAAAGAACCTACTTTTGACATCTCCCCAGCCCTTCCTCTAATCACCTTAAAATTATGCCCCCTCATAATAGTAATTTCCGCCCTGGGAAAAAGTCTCTGGCTATCCACTCTATCCATGCCTCTCATCATCTTGTACACCTCTCATCCGTCTTCCCTCCAATGAGAAAAGCCCTAGTTCCCTCAATCTTTCTGCATAACACCTGCCCTCCAGTCCAGACAGCATCCTAATAAATCTCTTCTGCACCCTCTCAAAAGTTTCCACATCGTTCCTATAATGAGGTGACCAGAACTGAACACAATATTCCAAGTGTGGTCTAACCACAGTTTTATAGAGCTGCAGCATAACCTCATGGCTCTTAAACTCAATTCCCCTGCCAATGAAAGCCAACACACCGTACGCCTTCTTAACAACCCTATCAACTTGGTAGCAACTTTGAGAGATCTATGGACGTGGACCCCAAGATCCCTCTGTTCCTCCGCACTGCCAAGAATCCTGCCATTAACCCTTTACTCTGCATTCAATTTTGACCTTCCAAAATGAATCACTTCACACTTTTCCGGGTTGAATTCCATCAGCCATTTGTTTGCCCAGCTCTGCATCCTGTCAATGTCCCGTTGTAACCTACAACAGCCCTCCACATTATCCAGAACTCCACCAACTTTCGTGTCATCAGCAAACCTGCTAACCCACCCTTCCACTTCCTCATCCAAGGGTCATTTATAAAGATCACAAAGAGCAGAGGTCCCCGAACAGATCCCTGTGGGACACCACTGGTCACCGAGCTCCAGGCTGAATACTTTCCATCTACTACCACCCTCTGTCTTCTATTGGACAGCCAATTCTGTATCCAGACAGCCAGATTTCCCTGGATCCCATGCCTCCTTACTTTCTGAATGAGCCTATCATGGGGAACCTTATCAAATGCCTTGCTAAAATCTATATACACCACATCCACTGTTCGACCTTCATCGATGTGTTTTGTCACATCCTCAAAGAATTCAATAAGGCTTGTGAGGCATGACCTGCCCCTCACAAAGCCATGCTGACTATTTCTAATCAAACCGTGATTTTCCAAATAATCATAAATACTATCTCTCAGAATCCTCTCCAATAATTTGCCCATCACAGAAGTAGGAGTGACTGGTCCATAAGTTCTAGGATTATCTCTATGCCCTTTCTTGAACAATGGAATAACATTTGCCACCCTCCAATCATCAGGTACTACTCCAGTGGACAGTGAGGACGCAAAGATCATTTCCAAAGGCGCAGCAATTTCTTCCCTCACTTCCTGTACTAACCTTGGGTATATCCCATCTGGCCCAGGGGACTTACCTATCCTCATATTTTTCAAAATTTCTAGCACATCTTCCTTCCTAACATCAACCTGTTCGAGCATATCAGCCTATTTCACGCTGTCCTCACAAACTACAAGGTCCCTCTCACTGGTGAATACTGAAGCAAAATATTCATTAAGGATCTCCCCTACCTCCTCCGACTCCATGCACAAGTTCCCTCTACTATCCCTTTGGCCATCCTCTTGTTCCTCACATAAGTATAGAATGCCTTGGGGTTTTCCTTAATCCTACCTGCCAAGGCTTTTTCATACCCCCTTCTAGCTCTCCTAAGTCCATTCTTCAGTTCCTTCCTGGCTACCTTGTAACCCCCTAGAGCCCTGTCCGATCCTTGATTCCTCAAACTTAAGTAAGCTTCCTTCTTCCTCTTGACTAGATGTTCCACATGTCTTGTCATCCAAGGTTCCTTCACCTTACCATCCCTTCCTTGCCTCAGTGGGACAAACCTCTCCAGTACCTGTAGCAACTGCTCCCTAAACAACCTCCACATTTCTGTTGTGCATTTCCCTGAGAACATCTGTTCTCAATTTATGCTCCACAGTTCTTGCCTAATAGCATTGTAATTCCCCCTCTCCCAATTAAATACGTTCCCACACCGTCTGCTCTTATCCCACTCCATGACAAGAGTAAAGGTCAGGGAGTTGTGATCACTATCACCGAAATGCTCTCCCACCGAGAGATCTGACACCTAGCCTGGTTCGTTGCCAAGCACTAAATCTAATATGGCCTCCCCTCTAGTTGGCCTATCTACATATTGAGTCAGAAATCCTTCCTGGACACACCTGACAAAATCTGCTCCAACCAAACTATTAGCACTTAAGAGGTTCCAGTCGATATTAGGGAAGTTGAAGTCACCCATGACAACAACCCTATTACTTCTGCACCTTTCCAAAATCTGCCTCCCAATCTGTTCCTCTGTTGCTATTGGGGGGGTCTATCGAAAACTCCCAATAAAGTGACTGCCCCTTTCCTGTTTCTGATTTCCACCCATACTGACTCAGTAGACAAACCGTCCCCGACAATCTCCCTTTCTGCAGCTGTGATACCATACTTGATTAGCAATGCCACACCCCCACCTCTTTTACCTCCCACCCTATTTCTTTTGCAACATGTAAACCCCGGAACATCCAACGGCCATTCCTGCCCCTGTTATCCATGTATCTGTAATGGCCACAGCATCATAGCTCCAATGACAGGTATAGATGGAGTAGATCATGAGAATTTCTTCCACCTAGCAGACATGTCTAATACCAGAGGGCACATGTTTATGGCAAGGAGTAAACAGCTTAGGAGAGATCTGAGAATTTTTTTCACCCAGAGGATGCTAGAAACATGGAACATGCTGCCTCAGAGGATGGTGGCACACAACATTTAAGAAGCATCGGGGTGAGTTCTTAAATACCAGGGCATAGTAGACTATGAACTGAGTACAAGTAAATGGGATTAGTGTAGTTTGGGTTTTGATGGTTAGTATAGCCAGGTTGGACTGAAGGGCCTGTATTTATGGCGAATCACTTTATAGGCAATGAATAATTGAAAATAGGTTGCTTTCAGCACAGCCAACATATTTCAAGACAGGACCTGGGGTTTTGGGGTAGGTAATAGACAAGAAAGGGGGTGTTCATATTCTGAAACTGTTTAACTTCATGTAAGGTGCCTTAGCAGAGATGAGGTGTTATTCTCCAAGTGTTGAGCTTTGCTGGAGCACTGCAGCAGGCCTGATACAGAAACATTGGCATGGGAACATGGTGGTGTATTAAAGTGGCAGGCAATTGGAAGCTCCTGGTCATTTTTGTGGTCTGTTGAGAAGGTTGGGGAGGCAACAGCCTTGTGGTATTATCACCAAACTATTAATCCAGAGACACAGTAATGTTCTGGGACCTGAGTTCAAATCTTGTCACAGCAAATGGAGGAATTGAATTCAATAAAAAGCAAAACTGGCATTAAGAGTTTAATGATGGCTATGAAACCATTGTTAATTGACAGGAAAAACTCATCTAGATGCCTTTAAAGGAAGGAAACTGTTGTCCTTATCTGCTTATATATGACTCCTGACCCAGAACAATGTGATTCCCTCTTAACTGCCCTCTGGGCAATTATGGTTGGGCAATAAATGCTGGTCCAGCTAGCTCTTATAAGCTGCTTTGTTGGTCTGTACATTTGTCCAATTCTGTGGAATCTGTACTTTCTTTGTGTTTTTATAAGCCCCTTTTAATTTTATGTTGCCCCTTACCTCCTTAACTGTCCATGGTTGTGTTTTCTTTTATGAGGTGTAGCTTTTCCTTTATATGCATATAAATTGCTTCTGAATTGCAGTAAATGTTTCTTTGAATGCCTTCCTCTGTTCTTTGGCTGTTTTACGTATTAGCAGAGCTTCCCAGTTCACTGTGGATAGTCTCTGCCGCATCCCTTTAAAATCTGTCTTATTTAAATCCAAAATTCTAGTATCCAATCTTTGCTTATCTCTTACAAACACTACATGAAACTCAAACGTGCTATGATCACTATTTGGCAAATGCTCACGAACAACCAGGTCACTAATTAAATGAGGCTCATTGCTCGTTACTAGATTCAATATTGTTTGTCCCATTGTTGCATCCAAGACATATTGACATAGGATACTATCCCGAAACTATCTAGAAATTCACAACCATTCTGGCAGGTGCTTGTCTGTCCCTCCCAGTCTATGTTAGGATCAAAATCCCCCATTAATACTACTCTGCCTTTGCTACATAGTTGCCAAATTTAAATATTTATACAATCTAGCACTTCTGAGCCGCTACCAAGTGATCTATATATGACACCTATTGTAGCTTTGGTTCCTTTACGGTTCCTCAGTTCTTCTCATTTTTTTATTCCATATTCATCTATGGGATGTAGGGTTCACTAGTGGGCTAGCATTTACTGATCATCCCTAGTTGCCTTTGAGGAGGTGGTCGTAAGCATCCACATTGATCTTACCAGCATCCATTAGTCTGAGCATCATTTATTTTATTTCCCTGGATGTGAGAAGCAATGGTGAAGCGGAATTTATCAAAACTTACAAAGCACAGGTGGATAAGTGCTTGAATAATCTTAAAAGGGGTAGGGAAAAATGTCAGGGCACTGGGATTGAATGGATATGGCTCTTCGAGTGAGGTGGCATTGGAATGCATGCCAAAGGGGCAGATTTAGTAGAGAATCTGAAAAATTCTTTACCACAGAGGGCTATTAAGGCTGGGTTATTAAATATATTCGTGGCTGAGATAGATTTTCATCAGCAACGGAATCAAGGGTTATGAGGATAAAGCAGGAAAGTGGAATTGAGGATTATCAGCTCAGCAGAGCAAACTTGATGAGCTCAATGGCCTACTTCTTCTGTGTTTTATGGCTTTATTTCTGTGCTATAAAATTATCCTTAGGGGTTTTGATGGAGGTAGATAGCATCTCAGAGTGCACTGTATGGGGGGAGTGGTAAGTGGACGATGATTCCCAATGGGCAAATCACTCGTCAGATTGCAGGGTTACAGAGAGAGAGAGAGATACACATCTTCCTTAAGCAAGTGTGACTTGAACTGGGGCTTACTCGCTCAGAGGTAGAGATACGAGCACTGCACCACAAGAGCCCTGGAAAGAGAAAATGTGCCTTCAGCAGCCATCAAGGTTGGTTGTGGGGGATGCCAGGACCAAGTTAGACGGAGCAGCGGGGGCGGGCGCATGCGCATTGGTGTGGCGCAGCCTCGATCGTACGGAAAGCGGTCAACACGGTCACTCCCGCCTTAGAGCGAGGGAGTCAGGTCTTGGGCTGCACATTAGTCTCTAACTGTCTATGTTTTTTGTAAAAAAAAAATGTTCTGATCCGGTACAGCGGAGTACTTTTCTTCATCGAAGAACATAAAACCGTCGAGAGTTTAAGGGAAAATGTTGAGGGCTTCATGGAAAGTAGCTCCGCCGCTGAAGGTAGGAAAGACCGGGCGAGACGGATCGATTCTGACATTAAACAGGCCTGACAGAAGATATTTCCTTTTGTTGCTGTCTCTGGAGTGTCCTTGCCTAGGGTCGCCGCTTCCCAATCACCTGACGGTGAACCATTGACAGGAGAGAGAGGGGCTGGGTTTGGGGTGTGGGGGGAGAAGCTGGAATCAGGCCGTTAGTTCAACCTACCCCAGTTGTCCGGGTGAGGCGGCGATTGACGCAAGTTTGCACCAATCGGCAGAGGCAGTTCTAGACTACCGACCAATCAGCAATGAAAAGGGGGGTGGTGTCCCGGGGAGAAATCAAGCTCGGTTGAGCAACAATGACACGAGTGGGAAATACAGGTTTCTGGATGGGAAAAGAAGAAAAACCAGACTTGATATTTGTCACTTAAATTAAAGACGCATTTGCTGTCGTACGTCTTCTTCCCCCGCCCCCCCCCAAACTGGCGATGAAGAGGAAGGCGAGACTCTTAAATGATCACATTTTTACAGAGAAAACGGCGTGACCTTGTACATGAATATAGTAACGTCGTGTATATTGACGAGGAAAAAGCATGAGCCCATTTTGTTTTAAGACTTTTCAGTTCTTGTATTTTCTTTTCAACTTTCCTGATTTCCCATGTACTTTAATATATTAGTTCAATATGTGAAATTACGGATCTCGGAATGCCAAAACATTCGTCAAAGAGTTTGGAAATCTACTGTATATATTTCAGAGTAATGGTATTTTAGTTGAAAGTTATTTCTTTTGTGAATTGAAGACTGAGACCTACATTGAAAATAATATGGGTGGGACAAGTCAAATCAGCACATGGCTTAGGTAAAGCTTTTGTTTAAAGATATTAACATTGTGGGAGGAGGGAAACAATGTTTAGCCTTATCACTGTTGTTCTTAATGTAATTCTCTTATGTGCAGCAGAGAAAAAAATGATAATGTACCATCAGTGTAACATTAGTCTAATTGTAAAGTTGACTTTTGCTTGATGGGCCAGAGTAAATTGAATATGCCTGGTGATCGATGGGATTCTCAATAAGGGCTTTTGTGGTGTGGTGGTAGTGTCTCTATTTCTAGGCCAGAAAGTTTGAGTTCAAGTAGTACTTGGCACAGCATTGTGTCATAATATGTCCAACAAGGTTGATTAAAACAATAATCATAAATGGTCTACATAAGTAACCATGTCAGTAATGTTCCTAAAATAAAATACTGCAAATGCAATAGGTGTGAAAACAGCAAAGGCTGGGAAAACTCAACAGGTCTGTGAAGGTAGAGTTAAGTTTTCAGGATATTAGGAACAAGATATAACTTCAAGTTTAATTTATATTTTGTATTTTTTGGTAGGAAGTTTTAGTTTCATTGTGAGGGTTGTTTTGTGGGCTTTGTACCCGGAAATTTGGCAGTCTTTTTCTATACATCCATTTGTGATGAGGTTTTACAATCCTTAAAGTGAATAGATGGGGGATTCGTTGTTCAGTGCATTTGTAAAAAAAAGTAGACAAAAATTGTTCTCAAGCAATGAGGTTTCAGATTGTGCTAGAAATTGGAAACAAGAATATTAAATACTCTAGTAAGCAATCCTGCAGCACTGCTGACAACCGAGTTTAGGGAAACTCCAAATTCTGTAGATAGTGTTTAGTTTATAATTTATTTTAGGTGTCTCAGGTGTCTCATACTATCTGCAGAAAAGCATCAACTGAATACCCTGGAATTCACCAGAAGGAAACAGGTTGCACTTGTGCCAGTCTGCACAAGCAGCCAAGCATGGAGATGGTGGTGAATCTTTGAGATTTGCCATTGCTGGAATAAAAAGAATATTGTAAATGCAGAATAATTTTGATGTTACTGAAACTTTTGTGGAATGTTGTTTAGTGTTGTATGGTTTGTTACTCCCTTGTTAAATGTACACTTGTGAATGTGTTCAGTGCTGGACCTCCACTGTTCTAAACAAAAAGAACAAAGTTAGGGTCTATCAAGCTACATTTTCCTCTGGAATCTGACTTTTTAACATGTTAACATTGCGGGATCATAACAGGGTTGACCTTTCTTCAGAACTGAGAAGAAATAGACTTGAGTTTTTAAGCTGGTAATGTTTCATACTTTGCAGTTGGTACATTGTACGTTGCATGGTTTGGATTTGTAATTTGAATCTGCAGTACAAAATGATCAAGCTTACTTTGTATAGTTCTCACTTGTATCAAGTGGATGTAGATATTTTTCAGAGCATTTATTAATTACAACATTAGTTGTTTGTACCACCTGACTTTGTCTATCTTCTGTAATTACGACCGTGCCTGGGTGTCCTTGGAGGAGGAGCATGCGGTGTTCACTGACACACTTGAAGCTTTCTGCAACTTGTGAAAGTCTGTGTGATTCTTGGAAGACGTGACAACATAGATGCTGGAAGGTTGTTTCCCATTTTGCAAGAGTCTAGAACCGGAGGGCAAAATTTCACAGTGGAGGATCACCCATTTAATAGAGATGAGGAGGAATTTCTGATGGGAGTTGTAAATCTGTGGTATTGCAGTTGATTGGCTCGCCGAGCTGGTTTGTTGTTCTGCAGACGTTTCATTACCCTGCTGGGTAACATCATCAGTGCAGCTTCCGATGAAGCGCCGGTGTGTTTTCCCACCTGGTTTTTAAACTCTGGAGTCCGTTGAGCTGGATTGCCTCACTTTCGGTTTTCCTTCGAGTTCTATGCGTTTATTAATGGCTTTCTTTGTGGAGTACCAGGCTTCTAGGAATTCCCGTGCCTGTCTCTGCTTAGCTTGTCCCAGGATTTTGGTGTCCCAGTCGAATTGGTGGTTCTCCCTATCCACGTGGATAGAGATGAGTGAGTATTGGTCGTGTCTTTTTGTAGCCAGTTGGTGTTCGTGTACCCTCGTTGTTAGTTTCCTTCCTCTTTGTCCAATGTAGCGTTTCTCACAGCCTCTGCAGGGTCCTGTCCATAGCGGGGAGTGGGTCTTTGGTTTGGGTGAGCAGTTGTAGGGTTGATGTGGGTTTGTGTGCCATTCTGATGCCCAGCAGTCGAAGGAGTCTTATGGTTAGTTCCGATGTGTTCCTGATGTAGGGTAGTGTGATGAGTGTGTCAGGAAAGTGTAGTATCTTCCTAATGTTGTTCGTGTAGGCATCTTCTGACCCGGTTTTTTGGATATCCATTATCTTTGAAAACCTGGAAGAGGTATTCTTCTTCCTCTCTACGTAGTTCTGTGTTGCTGCAGTGTGCTGTTGCCCATTTAAATAGTGTTCGTACGCAGCTTCGTGTGTGTGTGTTAGGATAGTTACTGTTGAAGTTCAGTACCTGGTCTGTGTGTGTGGCTTTTCTGTGTACTTTCGTTTGGAGTTCCCCTTTTGTCTTGCGCTCTACCATGATGTCCAGGAATGGGAGCTGTTTGTTCTTCTCCTTTCTGATATTCTTTACTGCAGGGGGCTATCGAGGTTGGGATGTTAAGTATATTTAAGACTGCAGAAACTATTGATGCACTTACAGATTAAAAAGCTTTCGGTGACAATCTCACTCAATTGGCTGATTGGCCTACTTCTGCTCCTGCGTCTTGTGACAGCTGAGGGACTAGTGTGCATTTCCACAAGGATGTTTCTAATTTAAATTTGAAATTTGGATGTTTGATTTTTGTTTTAATAGTGTCTCTTTTAAGAAGTGTTCATCTCTTAACTTTTATTTATTTGGTTTAATTTTGTATATTCTTTAGAAAAACAAATTAAATAACAATAGATAATAAAGTCGTGCAGCATAGAAGCAGGCCTTTTGGCCCACCATGTCCATGCTGTCTGAGAGCATCCTTCCCCAGGACTGCACACTATATTCCAGACATGGTCTCACCAAGGCCCTGTATAATTTCAGCAAGATATCCCTGCTCTTGTACTCGAATCCTTTCTCAATATGAAGGCCAACATACCATTTTGCTTTCTTGACTGCCTGCTGCACCTGCAACTTGGTAGATAGCTTACGATGCCCTGGCATTTTAAGCGCACATTCGGGTGCATCTTAAATGTTGTGAGTTTGCAGCTTAGTCCCGCTTGTTCAGGTGGTTAACTTATGAGTAGGAGTAGTCCATTCAGCCCACTGAATCTGCTCCACCATTCAATGTGATTATTTCAACGGGAATGGAGTATAAAATAATTACCTTCCCTGTCACCTGTTGAATTTGTATTTAGCTTTTTGTGATCTCCGTATGACGGTTCCCAAGTCCATCTATGCTGTAGCTTTCAGCAATCTTCCTCCATTTAAATATAGTCCGCTCCTCTACTCTTCCTGCCAATGTGCATCACCTCACATTTCCGTGTGCCAGATTTATGTACACTTGCCTAACCTGTCACTACCCCTTTGTAGACTCTGGCATTCTCATTATTGCCTTCCCACTTATCTTTGTTTCATCCATAAACTTGGTTATAGTACATTCATATTGCTTATTCAAGTCATTATTATATACTATAAGTGATTATGGCCCCAACACTGATCCTGCGGCACATCACTAGTTGCAGGTTGCCAGCATGAAAGTGCCCTCCTTATTCAACTCTGTTTTCTATTAGATAGCCAGTCCTCTATCCATGCTAATATACTAACATCATGGGTTCTTATCAAGTAACCAAATATGTGGTACCTTATCAAACCCCTTCTGAAGATCCCAATACATTATATTCATGACTTCCCCTTTATCTGTCCTTCTTAGTATCTCCTCAAAGAATTCTAATAAATTTGTCAAGCATGATTTCCTCTTTGTGAAGCCCAGCTGATGCTGTTTAATTGTTATGTATTTCTAAATGTTTTATTTTTACAACCTTTATAATAGGCACCAACATTTCCTCACTACTGATAAAGGAAACCATCACTGCAGTAATGAGGGGGGGTGTCTTAGAAGGATCTTCAAATGAGCCAATCTGGGTAGAATTTAGAAATATAAAAGGGACATTTGCTTTGCAGAGATTGTACTATAGGCCTCCCAACAGTCAGGATAGAGAAACAGATA